TAAAAAGAGTTTACAGTAAGAACCTCCTAGTTCCTTAACTATGTTCCCAATAGGAACCTTAGCTAGTTGATCCACCTACATGCTATATGATGTTTATCACCTACATTTGCAAGTATGATTCCCTCATTTTAGTGTGAGGGATTGACACCGAATTCAATGTTTATCTCGCATGGTCTATGACAGTTATGGTGAAGTTTCCCGTATGTCAAATAAACAAATGGAAGCATGAAGATAAACACTAGATAGTACTACCTAAGAAATGTTACCTAGTGTAGGTAAAGGAATCGTAGTTTACCATGCATTGAACAAGTAGGTCTTGAAGGAAATTCTAGGGTGATTTCTTTATGTCTATATATATATATATATATATATAATGGTGTTACCAGACTTGTTATAACTAATATGCATGATGGTAATCTCATCTAATATGCATGATGATTGTCTCACTTAGTATAAATGTTATTGACTATACTTTTCATGATTAAGTATGGAGTAAAAGGATATTCTTGTGATCTCCTTGTTGGATTAAATTGTATGTGAGTTTATGGGGATTCACATATACATTGCACTAGTACAGTTAGATTGGGGTTATGATTCAGATCATGTGATGTAATAAATGAATGAGTTGTGACATGAGGTCTATGAAGTATGTGGATCTTATGTCTAAGGTCAAATCAGTATGTTGTGCCTTCTTGAAGGTGATGTTCTTAGTCCAAGGTGATTAAGTAGGAACGCTTGGTGTGAATAGTACTATGGGATTTTACTTGCACATTGAACTAGTGTGTCTTGGTGAAGGCTAAAGAATCTTTCCCAAAATGAAGAGCGAGAATTACTATTCTCAAGTTCAAGTGATTCCTTAATGATTCAAGGACTTCATGATAAGAGTTCACTCAAGTTCGTGTAATAGAATAGAAATGATCTCGTGTATTGAAAGGGTCGTGTCCCTATTATATTAAATTCATCTCTAATATAAATTGACGAGACTTAGTGTCCTAACTTTGTACTAGTAGTTTTTCAATGAAATAAATTTTAGTCTTGTGTTATATTATGAAAAAGTTTTAGTTTTGCACTAATTTTATGATGATGTGATGAATGAATGCTAAGGGCTTGTATAAGTCCTCTGAGAGGTCAAGTAGGCAGTGTTGATTCTAGGGGTACTTCCCTGGTTGTGACATTTTAAGTTGTACTTCTAATCAATGGACAAATAATAAATCGAATTTGAGTCAATAATGGATTCAAATAAACATCTCTGATTTCATTTATTTTAACCTTGTGTTAATTTTCTTAGGTTATTAGAAAAGTATATCGTATTGTTCAAGTATTTTAAGGACCATTTTATCATATGTCATATGTTGCGATGATCCTGAGTCCATGATCCAATAGCTTGTAGGAAATTTAGAACAATTAAATAACAAATCACATATATGAATCATTAAAGAATAACAAGAAACTATACCTAGCAGGTTCACAACTTAACTTAGTGTGTTGCATGAATTTTCATTGTCTTTGTTTCTAGCCTATATGGTCCTCAAGAGGATGAGAAGCTACTCATACCTACCTTTAGATAGTTTAAGTGACATGTGTCGCCTTAGTTTAACAATTTGCCCTCTGCCTTGACTACTTCATTCATCATATGTGTAGCCATTTGCTTCAAAGGCTGAACCTTTTCCTTTAAAAATTTAGGGTTAAATGGATGGACATGGAGATTATAACATCTATCATTGGTGTTTCCAGATCATTTGTAGTAATAAAAAAAGTGTGACTTTTTTTGTGCATAGGAATTAGTAGTAATAGAGATACCTCTGAAGTACTTGTTAAAATTTCCAAAATTATTTGGACCTTTTCTGTATGAACTACAGTTTGTCTTTGAAATATCTACTAGTGCGGGGCTGAAAAGCAGATGCATTAAGTGATATGGAATCCAAAGCAACCTGGTTATGCGACCTCACTTCTCATTTTCTTTCCTCTTGGAATAAGATAGAAAAATCTTGTTCCCTACAGAGAAAAATTGTCATCATCATGATATTTTACCTCACAACAGTGTGCACTCAGAAGTGATGCCGATAGTGTTCATTTCGTCCAACAACTTCTTCATTTTTGCGCAATACCATTTATTTTTTTTGGAAGTTTGTATAGTTTGCAGTCATTCATCTAATTTTATGTGTTCTCTAAATTCTCCCGGAGTTTTTTTTATCATTGATCATATATTGGAGTTCATCTCTCAAATACGGTTAAAGGGAATTTAGAATCCAAGAGGTCACCATGTAATCACATCTCTTTCAATGTGGAAAGATCAAATCAACAAATTCTAGTTTCACATATTTACTTTAATAAAAAAAAATGTTTTTCTTTTCATTTATAAGTCCCTAAGAATTTCTCTTCTAAAAGATATATACCAATTTCTACCAAAAAAGAATGTAACAATGTTAAGCCTACGTTCGTTGATGCATGTCAGTAAAATGGACTTCTCGTGTCCATTCAAACAGTGGTTTCAAGTTAACTTGATCAAATTGTAAAGAAAAAATATACAAAATCCACAATGTTGCAATTTCGTGATTTACAAAAATTATTGATATCTATTCAATACTAACAATTTAAAATCAAAGACTGAATAAAGTTTCCCATATCTATGCTCTGATACCATGAGAATATTGGAAAAAGAAGTACTGTAATGAGCTTGAGTTCTCTATTAAACGAGCTCAAAATCAGGGAGAAGGAGAAAAGGAATAAAATTCAAGAAGAAAAAAACTGGAGTTTAGCATTGTATTCTTATAGTAACCACCCGAACCGTCGTTATTTCGGAAGGATGAAAATCTGCAAAAAAAATTGGAACCTGTTCTGCTAGAGTGGGCTAGATATATGTGGTGAGGCACTGCTACAGTTGGATAATTTAAAGCTACAGTATGACAGGCGAGATAGACCATAATTATGAGAATTCATATTTTCTCCATCTTCTTAAATACATATAAAAGTCATAATCTACTCTAAAAACTTCAGAAAATGTTTCTCAAAGCTTTGGAAGGAAGAAGGAGATTTATAGAATGAGGATGGTGGGATCTCGCTAATCATTACCAAACTCACTATCTCGAATCCCAAAAAATCTTGAAATAAAATCCAAATCCCCGCACAACCGCTTGGCATCTACATAAGTGAAGTTTCATGCATTGATTAGTTATAAATATGTGCTTACTATGAATTACAGGATATCAGTAATATTGATTGTGTGTAGACCTTCGTACACTAGTGAATTATGTGGAAAATTGTTATATATCAATGTAATTGGGTTAGAACTTAAGTAGAGACTTAGATGACCTGTCAAGGTTTTTGAAATTGTTTCTTGAATAAAATTGCTTCAAAAATAAGGGTTTCCGATTAGGTGAAAAGTATTATAGGTGTAATCTATGTTCAATCTAGTGAAGTTGTAAAATTGATTAATTTTTGTGAATTAGGACTAAAACTCTACTAACAAACTCTAATGAAGAGATAGGGTTGAATTTGGTCCATTGCATGTTAGAATTAAATACTAACTCATAAATGTTGAGAAGCGAGTGGTTTAATGCATGTTCATATTATTTATTTCATTCATTATAAGATGGGCGTTGGATAGACCGATGATTCCTTCCTGTATGTGGGGTTGTAGTGGTACTACTCTTGCTATGTCTTTTGACATAACTTGGATGCAAGATTGGTGATGTTTCATTAGGTTATGATGGAGAAATTCTCCAACAACTTCTATTCTTTTTCAGCATGGAGGAAGTTGTGTCTTTTGTTATCATGTCTAAATTTTACTCTTAGTACCTCTTGTACTTTCTAGGGTAGATCTTTGGGGTTGTTGATTACTTTAATAGTCTTACCTAGTTCATGAAAAATATTTTACTTATAAATATTTTAATCTCTATTATGTCTATATTTCGTTAATTTTTCGCATGTTTAAACCATAAGGGTATGAGGATTCTCCATTTAGGTGTTACAATGTGTGCTCGCACGGGCCTACAAGATTGGATAGTGACAAATTGATATTAGAGCCTAGGTTATCGGTCTCCACTACACAATTTTAGGCCTACGGCCACACTAATTCTTGACTACACTTGTAAAGTGTTGCCTAAAGTAGTTTTGGGAACGCTTTTAACGCGTAGCTGAAATTTTTAACTTTTAGCTACAATAATTTTGGCAAAACTTTGAAAGTGTACTCTTCAATGGTATAAGATATACTTTATAGGTGTTGTTACAATATGATATAATTGACAACACTTAGTTACATATATGGCCACACTTTTAAAATGTCCTATTTTTATAATTGAAAAAACAACACCTTATAAGTGTTGCCTTAAAAATTTTCAAAAACTTTTTATATTCCATGCAATATTTTAACACTCCCTCCCATTTATATTGGACAAAAAAATAAACATTAACAAATAATAAACCTTAAATTTTTCACTTCACTTTACTAATAAAACATAATACGATTTTTTTTGGGAGAAAAAACGCTTTGCCCAGCTCATTAAAAATATCCCCAATTTCTTAAACGAAAAATTTTCCACTCAGCTCAAGAGATTGAAGCTCCAAATCTGAAATTTTCATGAAGCAAAACTATAATTTATTTCAGGTTTCATGATTTTGTTGTTCATCTCAGCCAATCAAAACCTGATTATTTTTTTGTTTTACAGGTTTTAGTTTCTGTTTTGTTCCATATGTGAAGTATGTTTGGCTTAATACAGAAAGTGTAGGAGATAACGAGCTATTCCATCTTCTTCCAAACTCTAGCAATATGAATTTGTGGGTAATGAGTTATCTGATACTTGAGCACAAGGCTATGTTATTTCAGTTTTTCCTTCAATACTGAAGAAGGTTCTGCACATTGGACATGCATTTTGTGTGCTCTTTGTTTTCTTTATCACTTTGACTTTGAATCACTGTCTTCTGGTAATTATTATGATGATAATAATCTACTTTGCATCAGCTTTAGAGTATTTCTTGGCTGATATGTATCCTATGCTATTGGGTGCCCAGTTGATGGACTGATTTCACCTTCAAAAGAGACATCTGTTGAAAATAAACTTCATGACATGGGATGTTTTGAAATTTTCCATGGAGACACAATAGGAATCACTACTCAAGGTAATATTCTAAAATATGTTTTGCATTAAAATTTAAAATTTCCTTATTTCTTTATTTAAGATTCAAGTGATATGTTATTTATGTCGTAGAAATGTCTCTATGTTCAGATTTCAAAGCTAAAGTATTGTACTGCTAGAAAATGAATTTTCTCTGTGTGACCATACATATTATGCTAAAAATTAAACTTACAGTTGCACTATAGCTTCAACTTTTACTTGCAATCTGTAAAAACGTGGCTGGGTCGATGGACCTTGCAACGGGACGTCGTGGTCACGATGAGTCATCGTGGACCTCGCGATGGACCGCCGTGGACCTCGCGACGGGCCATCGTAGTCATGAGAGGCCGTCGTGGTAATGACGGGCCGTCGTCGACTCCGTCGTCCCATACTTGCAAGTTTCGTCTGCTACTTCTGTGATCTTCATGACGAACATGCAGGATGGACTGTCATTGCTACGACGGTCCGTCACGCTTTCGGTTACAGCTGTAATTTCAAATTGATTAATTCTTAAATTTCTTAATTTTGTGTTCTTTCTTGATGGAACAGATTTGTTTACTAGAGAAAATGCTATTCAAGCAGTTAACGTTGTTATCAATTCTTATTTTCCTAAGAACTCAGAAACATATTTGCGAAGGGTATGTATAACCGATCATTGATCTGGCTTACTGAATTATATATTCTTTTTGTTATTTCATCATTGGTAATTTATTGTTAGTGGCTTTAGTTCGAATTGAGATAAGGTTTTGTTTCTCTTGACCACTATTCATCTTGCTTGTTTGGTATGGTTTACATGTAGTTTTGCTATGTCAGATATAGTTTCCTTGTTTGATCTTGTGGAAAATATTAACTACAGAAGGAAACTAATCTAATTTTCTTTAATTTTTGCTGCTGTTGTAATCTACAATCTGGACTTGTCTCTCTTTAGTTGTTGTTAATGTATTTTGTTTAAATTGAGGTAACGTTTTGCTTCTTTTGTTTCACTATTTTTTGGCATTTGTATAGATAATTGACATGGTATGGAATCTGCAATCTGCAGATTTGTTGTTAATGTTTCCTAGTAGAAGGCATGATTCCTTAACTACAAACAAATAAACAAATATATTAGCAGAATCTAATTGTTTGTGTCTCCTCATTAATTCCTATTTTCTTTAGTGTTCGTGTTAGTTTGTGTGCATCATGGTTATTGTATAACACCAAATATTTTGTATTGTTTGTTATGAAGTTTGAACCCTAATGCATTCATTCATTGTTGTTGAACTCATTTGGAATTGTAGACACCTAAGGGAAGATCATCTACTTTTAACATTAAAAGACAAGTATGCATCTACTTTGAACATCAAATGATGCAATCTAAGTTTCTGTAACTGGTGGATTTCTTGCCTCTCTATATTGTTGCAATCTTAACTTCTTACATCTTCTATATAACTGGCAATATCTTATTTGTGTAGGGAAATGGAGGTGATCAAATTTGAAGTGGATGATGAAGAATTTTTGAACTATTGTAAAAGTTTGAATACATATTTGATTTATTGTGTACACATTTAGAATATTGATGTATAAGTATGGATATGTACACAACGCATACTATCTTTTGGTTGTACATGAAATGTTTCTCGAAGTTTATTTGAAATATATAGCTTCAATTTAATGATTAATTAGTTCATTTTATGTTTTAGGTAACTTGTATGTATGTAAATGTATTATATATATTTGTGCTACATGTAGGCTTATAAATGTTGAAGTTACACTTTGTAATTGTTGCTCTAGGTAGATAAAAAGTTACACTTTGGAAGTGTTGCGATAGATGACCAATAAAAGGCAACACTTTTTAAGTGGGACCAATAAATCTGAAAAGATAACGCTTTTAAGAGTAGTCTAACAAAAATAGGTGTTTGTAATGAACGTCTTCAAAGTGTGGCCTTATACCTATTTGGCTACGCTTTATAAGTGTAGCCAAAGATGGCAACATTTAAAAAGTGTTGCCTAATGTCACAGGTTACGCTTCTTTTGGGAAGCCCCTAAAAAGTGTTGTTGAATGTCAAAAAGTGTAGCCCTTTATCAAAGGCCACACTTGTTCCTAGTTTAGGCTACACTTACGTTGTGCTGCTGTAGGCCGAAAATGGTGTAGTGCTCCCTGCACAAGAGCAAAATGTAAATTAGACTCCTACAAATTTGTGTGTTGATATCCACATATAATCTTCAGTAACTAGGAAGCGTTCGAGGAAGTCATTTTACTCCTTCTCTACTTTGTGTGAAATGTTGCTTGTGGCATGGGTTGAATCAAATTGGTATCCCCCGATTCCAATAGATATATAAATGAAATAGACTAGATGTCATGATTACAACTAAAAGGATACAGGTAAGGTTAATTTGATATGGAACGGTTCCAATTCGTATATGGCCTTAAGGGTCGTGCGAGGCATAGATGACCAATAATTGTAATCAACAAACCTATAAAGTGAGGTTTTTATAATGTGTCGTTCATGTTGATTAATGTGTGCTTCTTCTTTCCTGAAATAACTGAAGTTATGTGATTCTTGTTATTGAATTAGCTATAACTATGAGTGGATTATCGACTAAATTAATAGATAAATCTTTGAAGTATCCAAGTGTAATTCAATGAATATCATGTAATCCGTTTACACAAACTCAAATCATTAAGTATGTGAATGTTTGAGAGTATGCTAGGTGTAAGTGACCTATAATGCCAAATTGTCTATAACGTTATGGGTGAATAGTGTGTAGCCTAGTTTTAAAAATTTTTGTAGTGTAACAGAATGGTAAAATGGGGACCCTGGGAAATCTGGGAAAATGAAAAAAGAACGTAAAGAAATTTAGCCTGGGTTCTGTTCTCGTTGGAGCCGCTAAAGAGGGATGCTCCTGCCAGAGCTCTGCCGGTAAAGAGGGATTTATCCTTCTAGAGAGGGACAAAGTGGCAGAACCTTCCCTGTTTTTCCATGTTTACCATAATATAAAAATAACTACTTGGAGAGGGCTAGAACCAATAACTATAACTCCCTTAAATGTGTTCAACAATAGTAGTACAAAAATTTAATCTAAGATTTAAAAAAGGACTACAACTGACAGCGAAAACAACCATCCACGTGCTACCAAAAAATAGAAAAGTCAAAAGCTACTGATAAAATAAACCAAGTTTGTATTAGAATTCACAAGTACAAAGAAAAAGAAGGAGAAAAATCAAATAATAAGGAGCTCTCAGACTAGGTAATGCACATGTCCTAGGGGCGCTAAAATCAATCTCAAGCCTCATGCGGCATTAAAAACTGGGTTAAGCACTTTGGGTCAAGCTGGGAAATCTCCCTGACTGGGGTCACACAACTGAAATGGTGTTAATAGTCTTCCATATCGTGAAAATCAAGAAATACATGTACATTCCCTTCCTCCTCTTTTGGAGCAGCTGGCGTTGGAGAAACTATTTCTTGAGGATAGTATTGGGAGGAACTTGAGTTAAGTTAGCATATGCACTCCCTATCTTCTTATGGAACCTCACTATATCTGAGAGAGGGTTCTTACTATCTGAACCCGTAGCAACCCTGCTACTACAAGCCTTGTCGGTCCTCCTCTTCTTGCTCCTAGAAGAAAAGCCAAACCTAACCAGAAGAGGGTTTCAGAAGTATCCATAGGAAGTACCTCATCAGTATCGAGTAGAGGCGTCCCTGCCTACTTGCAAAGGAATGTAACAAGATCAAGAAAGAATAGTGTCTTGTTGTTTCCCCGGTATAACATCTTTGACTCAGAGATAATCTACTCCCCCTCGTTAAACTAGATGCCCTTCTTAGAACACGTCAACACAAAGGGTCGGGAAATGGGCATATCGATATGGTCACCCGACTGGCGAATCTTCCTAAATACCAGGTGCAACTACCTCTTAGCATCCGGTGACCAGTCATGTGTGGTGATGACCTCTACAATAGACTAGAAACCTTCTCACGCTTTGCAGTCTCCACTATAGGGTCCCGCAACAAATCGAAGTCAACCTCCTTAAGTTTGTATCTTTACTCTAGGTTTTGGGACTCCATCTTCTCCAATATATCATTAATAGTATTGACGGTCAGAGGAATGCCAAACTCTGAATGCGAATATTTGGGTAAGGGTCCTCCCAAGTAAAGTGAGATTCTAAGGAAGCCTTAGTCAGCGTAGCCAGAAATGCTAGACTAGATGAGCATGAGAGGTAGGAGCATTTTCCTCCACCCTACGTTGCACAAATGCCCTCTTGAAGTATAACCCTTTGGTGTTGTAGTCGTGATGTTTTTTCCACTTATCAGCATTAGGAAATCAGACAAAAAGCAAGTTTGAATTGTTGTATCCAACCCTTTACGAAGCCTGCATGGTGGGGGGAGGCAATAAAAAGTAGAGAAGTTTTGTTTTTTTAAGGGGTTAGGTTAGTGTTCCACCACATCATGCTACAGTTGCCAGAATCCCCAAGACACTACAACGGGATGCGGACCGCTAGAACGACTATCTTGATGAACAACATGTGCAAAAATGACATATTTTCTTCCTAAAATCTTCCATTCTCATCTGTTTTTTGACAAATCAAATTATATTAACTATACTTTAATATAAATAGACCATTCTTTCATCAAATAACCCTTAAATAGTGTTTAATTTTAAGTTTTGTCAAAGCGACTCTTCAACTTCTTGCATCCATTTTTGTATTGATTTACCAATATTTTTACGCAATCCTTACCCCCAGTATGTTGTGTGAACATTAGGGACGTAAGGTATGTCACCAAGATAAATTTAAATAATCATTTAGCAACCTAGTTCAAACATTTAATAACTACATGAAAACGGTTTCAGTTCTGATAAATAAGTTGCTATACAATCATAACAATTGAAGAAACAAAATGATAAGTGAATAAGAATGAGAAATTACATGAGAATTGTCGATTTGTAGAAGGGTGATTGATAAAATTTTGAGAGAGTTGGAGTAAGGAAGAAAGAATTAAATGAAGAAAATTATTCCCCATTTCCCTTTAATTTTACCTGAGCTCCAACTACACTCCCACTACAATGGGAGGGTTTCCTCTCTAGTGGGAAAGGCCTTGATATCTAGGAGGCTTGATTAAATCTTCATGTTTTGCTCGTTAATTACCCCCCCTTCTACCCCTCACATTTAGCTAGAGAACATAGTACCTATTTAATGGTTAAAATGTCAACCTCTCCTATCATTGAGCACATGTAACATCTTACAATTTAAAATACGTAATAATAAGAGAAGAAAGTAAAAGTATTCATTTTTATGAAATAAAGGGGAAATTTTTGAAAATTGCGTATGTTAAGTAAGTGACTTTTAGTCATTTTCAAATTGTCATAACTTCTACCTCGGGATGATTAAGCTAGTTCTTGACATGGTTGTAAATCCCTTAAAGAGATCATTTCAACGCTGTTGATTTTGGCTCATTTTTTATATTATATGAAGGATATATTCCTATCGAAAGTTGCGTCGTTGAAGTAAGGAAAGTCCAAATCCGAATTTAAAAAAGGGCAAACTAGTATTTTTTCCATTTCGTTGTAAGGGTTTATTGGGTTTAAAACCAAGTTTAGTTTAATTTTTGAAATTCAAAATCATGCTTAGTTGGTGGAGAAGAGATAAAATTCAAGAATTCGCCAAGAACGTCAAGATTTGCAAGTGGATTTCGTCGCTGCTGATTCTTATCAAGGTATGTGAGATCTATTAGTGTTCAGTTAGTTCACCCACACAAAAAGCTTATTTCAATCCCATGATTTTCTAATTGTTTGAATGAGAATAGGGATGTTCTTTTAGGATATTGTTGCATTCTTGTTGATGAATTTGTTGAATGCTTATTATTGCTTTGATTCGTAATTTTGGGTTGTTTTTGGAGTTAGATCTATTGGGTATTGAAGGTACTAGTAATCCTAAGGTTTTGGGAGAAGAATTATGGACGTTTAAGGGGTTTAGCTTTGAAAACCAAGATGAAAAAATTGTGGGGTAGGGTCATGCGCGGCGCGTTTGCAGTGCACCCTAGTGGAGCTTTAGACCAATGGGTCTCACATGGCGCAAATTGGCATTTGTTGCATTTTTTTCATAATTTAGTATGATTAATCTATTCTAAGGTATTTTATCACTTATTAATAATTCTAATTACTATAAATGACTTCTAAGCATATAAAAATATTTTTGAAACACGAATGAAAAACCTTGAATCCATAACTTCAAATTCAAGGAAAAGTTAGAGATAAGTCTAAAGAATTACTAAAAAGTCTTTTGCAAATGCTTCAAACTTGAAGATCAGTTTGAGTAAGTACTTCATAAGTCTTTCAAAAAAGTTTTAAGTGTCACTTTGAGACTTATGCTCGAGTTCAGTTAAGATTAAATTGAAGTATTCCTTCAAAGAAATTTATGGGAACTAAGTATTACCAAAAGAACTTAAAATGTTATCACATTTAAAAAGAAGGGAAAATTAGATTTTCAAAGACCCTTCGGGCTAGTTTTCAGTTAAGGAGAAATAGCTCTTTAAATAAAGCAAGTAGGGAAAGTTAGATTTTCAAGATAGACTTTGGGGTATGTATTTTGAGCACTAATCTCAAATCACTGAATCCGTAAGTTTTAAGAACATAAGAGCCAGTATATTTTAGGAGTAGTATTTAGCATTGTATGGGAGAGAGTTGAGAAAACTCACAGCACCA